TGTTCAATAATTTCTGGACTCTGTTGGATCACCTTTCTTTGGAATGAGAACAAATATTGATCTCCTCCAGTCAGTTGGCCAGCTGGCTGTCCTCCACATTTCTTGGCACAACTTAGTGAGCACATCCAGGACAGCATTTGTTTGTTGAAATATGTCAGTTGGTATGCTGTGAACTCCTAGGGCCTTGTTTTTTGCCAATTCTTTCAGAGCAGCTTGAACTTCTTCCTTCATCACCACAGGCTCTTATTCATATGTTGTTTAATGAATTTCTTCTGTGTCAGCCAATTCTTTCTGGTATAGTAACTCTGTATACTCCTTCCATCTTTTTTTAATGCTTCTTGGATTATTTAACATTCTGTCCAAAGCATTCATAAGTATTGCCACTCACGGCTTAAATTTGTTTTTCAGTTCCTTCAGTTTAAGAAATGCTGAGCGAGTTCAGCCCTTTTGATTTTCTGACTCCAGTTCTTTGCACATTTCATTATAAGACTTCCTTTCTCTTCCTGAGCTGCCCTTTGAAATTTTCTGTTCAGCTCTTAAATTTCTTTTTTTTATAGACATTTGGTTTTAATGACAAAGTAGGAGAAAATAAACTGTCAAAAATGAACAAAATATACCTTTTTACAGATATGTATAGTAGGTATGATTGATTTGTCTGGTATTTTAAAGGGAAAGGAATAAAAAGGAAATGAGGTAATTCTTTTAGCTTTCATGGACATGTCCTGTATGATGCGGACTGCATCCCTTAATGCAGGTTCGACTCTTAAATTTCTTGATTTCTTCTTTTAACTTTGGCTTCTCAGCACTCTAATGCAATATTCAAAGTCTCATCTGACATCCATCTTGTTCTTTTTTTTCTCTTCTGCCTTTGTAATGATTTTTTTGCATTCTTCATGGATGATATTCTTGATATACTCCTATAGCTCATTCATTCTTCGCTCATTAGTGTTCAAGGCCTCAAGCCTGTTCCTGAGATAGTTTTGAAGTTCAAGTGGGATAGACTTAAGGTCAAATTTTGGATCCTGTGGATTTGATTTCATTTTCTTCAACTTCAGCTTGAACTTGCATAAAAGTAGTTGGTGGTCCGTTCTACAATCAGCACATGGCCTGGTTTTTACAGCTGATATTGAATTTCTCCAGTGATTTTTTCCCCCACATAGATGCAATAATAAATGTAAGGTGGTCAAATACTTAGTTACTATGAAAAGGCTAGAAGTTTGAACCCAAACCTTTGCTTCATGGAGGAAAATATTTACAGTCTAGGAATCTCTGTAGAAAAGTTCTACTATATCTTATAGAATTTCTAGGAGTGGGAATTGACCCTATGGAACTCAGCAATGTTATTATAACAAGTATCCCTAGGAAAATACTATTTAGCACAAGCTATTATTCTCCCAATGAGAAGGACTGAAACAGTGATTGATAGAGTGATCGGAACAATGGGCTTGAGGGGGGTACAGAAGATAAGGAGGATGCAGAACAGGGCAAAATGTGTCTATTGTGCTTCTGGTTGTTAGGAGTCATAGTTGACTCAACGGCACCTAACAATAAAAATCTTATTCTGCGAGTTGCTAAAAGACTCAAACAATGAGAAATTCATCTTTACTTTCCCAACAACTAGAACATAGTCAGGTACAGAATTGATGATTGGTTGAAGGATTGGCTCATCCATTCTTCATTCAGTGGAAAGGAAACACTATGGTCTTGAGGTACAGAAGCATATTGTATGTGTTTAAATCTGGTCCTACCACTTATTTTTGCGGCTTTGAATAAATCACTTAATCTCTCTTTATCTCTTCTTCTACATCTATGCAAAGGAGATCATTAACATAATTCCACTTCACAGAGTTGTTGCGGTTTGAGTGAGATGATTGTATTTTTAAAATCCCTTAGCACACTGACTTAATACATTATAAGAATTGAATAAATGATTAATTTACTTAATAAGCAAATAAAAGTATAGAAAACAAGTATCCTAGGGTATTCTATAAGAAGTCATAAGTGAGGCAGAAGTAAACTAGTTTAAAGGTTATTGCATTCAAGGTGTACTGCATTGAGGGAAAAAATTACAGTGAAAATATATATTCCTGATAGATAAAGCAAGCATGTTGAGGTTGAGAATTATGTCAGGACAGGGTATCCTTGTATAAAACTGCTCTAGTGATGAGAAAAAAGATTCATAAAGTCTATCTCTTGCCAAAGGGTATGTCAAGTGTGAGATTTACACTTCCTAAGTGTTGTGGATTGCAATACGTGCCATTTATTTGTGTGTCAGTAACTCTATAATCTTTCCTATAGAGCTCCCATCCACTTCCCGCTGACCTCTCTTTCCACTCAGGACATTCCTCATTACATACCAGATCTGTACTCTGATGTATAGCCAACAACCTCGGCGAATCAAGAGTGACGTTGTAGAACAGACAGGAGTCGCGTCCTGCAGTGATTCATTCTAATTACTCCAAAATCTAACTAATGGAGTAGTCAGTCCAGTCAGAAGAGGGAGAGGGATGTGGCTGCCAGTCTGCCTGCTCTTTTTCCAGAGACTGACCCCCGTGAACCGTTGGCACTTGATAGCCATAATCAATAGCTTGTGAAACAATAAGGTCAGCAATTGTAAAGATTCAGATTTTCTGCCTCCAAATGTAATGGAAACAAGACTGGTGTGCTGAGCCATTGAGGTGAGTCTGACCTTAGCTGACTGACTGATAAAAGACTCCGAGTGGAGGAAGAGATAAAAGAAGATGCAGTTGTAAATATAATATCAGCACAATCCCAGTTTTCACCCTGGAAACATGCTGAATTGTTATTTTGCTATTAGGTTAAAAGTGAGGGGAGGAAATATTAGCTTGGGTAAAAGAGTAGATTAAGAAAACTCTGAAATGAGGTGTTGTCTGTTTAAACTATCTCCATAAATATGCTTGCAAAGTTTTAATGCATCTGGATTAATTCCATTAACTTAACCATTTTTCCTCAAAACTAAGGTCACCTAAAAAATTCTTTTATAAAGACTAGAGATTATCTTTGTTTATCCTAAGATTCTAACTGGAATGAGTAGCTCAGAGGTCAAATTTTCCTTTCTTTAAAAGGAGGACAGGAAAAGTATTGCCAGTCTATTTATTACTGCACTAGGAGTTTTGCTACAATCCAGAGGATGTAGTTTGAATCCATCAACTATTGCTTGGGACAAAGATGAGCAATCTCTTTCCATGAATTTTTACAGTTTCTGTCAATGCGCTGGAGGGTCAACTATGAATTGGTTCCAACTTCATGGCAACGAGTGGAGTTGGTGAATAAAAAGTAGAGTTTCTACTTTATTCTGAAAAATGGTTTAAGGTATGAACAGAAAGTATGAAAGCAATAAATTGTCAGGGGGTTAAATAAATAAATGTTTGTCTTCAAGTTTTAAGTTTATTCAAATTGCTGAGTGGATGAATACAGTTGAGATTTGAAGTTCTGCTTTAGTCGTCTTTAGAAGAACAAAGGAGAAAAAACACCCCAAAACTCCTGTAGGAAAAGTACCTTTGAAAGTTTTCAGGCAATGTTTCAGTGGCTTAAATAGGTAAATAACCTTCACCAATTTTCCTCTTGGTGATTTGAGGGTAAACAAGTTAGGTGCACACAGAACATATTTCTCCTACAAATCTATGTGGGTGCAGCAATTAGGGAAAAAGGTCTTAGCGTGCAGTCTGCTTTTGTTGAAGTCAGATCATTTGAGAAAGAGTTTAAGAATTTTTCTGAAGTTAAGATGGCCAGAGGTAGGCTTTTTGGAAAAGAAATCCATGGGGATATAATAATACCCAAGGAAGTAGCTCTCATTTAGATAAGAAGTCCATTATGGATGATAAACAAAATTGAATCTTGTATTACATATAACTAATAGAGTGTTGAATTTATATTAAAGTCCTGCTTAGATTTATGCAATGACAGTTTACTTTTTGAATGAAAACAAATGCCAACTCTAATCAACTGCTCCAAAACACAACACAGATCCTACTCTCTAGACACCTTCTGGGTTTCCATTTTCAGTGGATTAAGCAAGGAGATTTCTGACATCATTTGATACACTCTGCCAGGAAGGACAGCTAATGAGTGTTTTCTTCTATAGTGCTCCAAGGAACTCTGATAGTTTAATCCTTGACTGCTAACCAAAATATTACCATGTTGAACTTCCACAGAAAGTTTTGAGAGTTCTGTGGTGGTGTAATCCTTTGAGAGCTGTGCTGCTAACCCCAAAATCAAGCTTCCTCGATAGTTCAAATACACCAGTGACTCAGATGGGCTGTCTCCTCCCATTGCAATTTACAGTCTCAGAGACTGACAGAATTGTTATTAGTTGGAACTGACTTGATGGCAGTGAGTCGAGCTGGTCCATAGGAAGAAGACATAACAACAGACTCTCTCTGTCACATGGGGTGACTGTAAGTCAGAAATCAATTCGTTCAGCAGCATCCAGCAGCAGTAACAATGCACACTCTTGTTCTAATAATTACTGTCACACAGGCAAGACACAGGAATCTTAAGAGTACTTTGCTCTTCTGAGTTGTTGTATTTGTAGATTTGCAGGTTTTAAGGTGTGATTAACAGTGCTGTGTTTTTCATCTAAAACAGTACATTTGTTCAATGTCTGCTCTTCACAGTCTGTTTTTCTCAGACTGTGCATCAAGAATGAGATACTTTTTTTTAATGGCCCAGTAAAAAATGAAGGACAGAGAAGTTATTAATGACTTTAAAGCCAATCACTGAATAAAATTTATACTCCACAATTTTTAAAGCTCTGTGCTTATAACCTTTGGTTTGTATGTGGCTGAAATTGTAGGCATTTTATTTCTATCAAAAGAAGAGAAAACGAGTCACTGAACAGAAATCTTTCCTAGTGCTCATGGACACAGACTTTTATTTATTTATTTATCTATCTATCTATTTTTAGAGGAATCACAAAGTGCTTTGTTCCCCAACAAGATGTGCACGTGGAAGTTGTCCACACTCTCTGAGCCCGCTTATTAGCTGCTGAGGTGGTGGTGGTGGGGTGTCTCTGCGCAGCCCCAGGCCCGGAAAGGACCCTGCACAGTGTGCCCCGCAGGCTTGGTGCCCCCCATAGACACTTCCAGCCTGGAGTCTCTCCTGTCCATGGTGAGGGCCGCGTGCTGAGGCCTGGGATTCTGAGGGAACAGCTTTCTCTGTAAATACTCCACCAGTTCCAGCAGCTTCGTCTCGTGGTAGGGGAGCTGGACGACGTCATAGCCGAGCAGATGGAGGTGCCTCTGTTTAATGGCTTCTCTGCCCAGAAGGTGGTTGGTATTGGAGCAAAATCTTTTGGGGTTATCTATACACAGCACCACCCTTTTATGCACCTCTTCGTTGGCTGTATATGGCAACACAAAGCCCTCTCTGTCCAGCTTGATTTCCACATCGATTGTGTAGCAGGAGGGGGTGAGCACTCTGGAGCCAAAGTACGTCCTTGCTCCCAGAAGCTGGACGAGGCCGCTTATGACAGACTTGTACAGATGGAAGTCCAGAGGGGTCTCTATGGAGCAGCACGGCGTGAGGAATGAGTTCACCTGGTACTTGGGGAGCAGCTTGCGGCCCTTATACAAGGGGCCCTCCAGGACGGAGCTCAGGAAGAGCTGGGTCAGCTGGGCCAGGCTCACCCTGTCCAGGTGGGGCTCTTCACCCTGCAGCTGCTGAAGGGAGGACACAGACTTTTAAAGCTCAAATATGAAAACATTTTTGATGTGGTTGAAATGATACAGTTACCACCATGCCCTCTTGTTGCTCATATAATTGTGCTGACGAGCCTCAGAAGAATGGTGTTTCCTTCATAGTAAGAGATGGGTGGTCTTTCCAATTTTAAGAACTTTAAAGAACGGTACTTAGTCCAATCACTACTGTGTGATCTGGAACTGATACTCTTCAACAATCTCTTGACAGTGAATCATATTTAACATTTCAAAGGACCAGAGGAAGATTTATTTAGTGACTCTCTTCTTGGGAGAGTAATTTAAGGAGTATCTGCTGGTAGACACATAGACTATATAATGCATGACATGGCATGGCATGGCATAGCATAGCATTAGCAAAATTGAGTCAGCTTAACAGCAGAAAAGCATGCTCCAGAATATCTTCTAATCAGAGATGCCAATTCTTGCTCACGTTTTTCTGAGTTACACAGTGACTGATTTGCATACTTAAGGAAATAAACTAAAAATTCAGCTAGAATAAAGATCACCAAGAGAGATGGTGTTTTACATTTCATGAACATAACTTTTATTAACAATTCACGTCATTGTTATTTGTTAATCTTGAGTATAGGTATAGATTCCTCATGAGCACAATCAAGTGCTCTGGGATTTCCATTCTTCTCAATGTCAGCCACAACTTGTTATGATCCACACAGTCAAATGCTTTTGCATAATGAATAAAGCACAAATAGATGTTCTCCTTGTATTCCTTATTTTCAACCAGGATCCATCTGATATCAGCAACGATATCCCTGGTGTCACGGCCTCTTCAAAATCCTGCTTGAACTTCTAGCAATTCCCTACCAATATGCTGTTCTAGCTGTTTTTGAATGATCTTCAGCAGTATTTTGCTAGCACGTGATATCAATGATATTGTTAGATAATTTCCACCTTCAGTTGTCCCTTCTTGGGAACAGGAACAAATAAGAACCTCTTCCAATCCACTGGCCAGACAGTCGTCCTCCAAATTTCCTGGCATAAGCCGGTGAGTGCATCGAAGGCTGCAACTATTAATTGAAACAAGTCAATTGGTATCCCATCTATTCTATTCCTAGGGCCTTATTTTTTGCCAATGCCTTCAATACAGCTTCCACTTCCTCTTCCATTACCATAGGCTCCTGTTCATATAGTACTTCCTGAAATTTTTCAGTGTCAATAAATTCTTTCTGGTACTGTGACTCTGTGTATTCCCTTCATCTTCTTATGATTCGTTCTGGGTCATTCAATACATTGCCCATAGCATCTTTCAACATAGTGACATGAAGCCTAAATTTATTTTTTTGTTATTTAAGCTTGAGTGAGTGCTTCCCTTTTTATTCTCCTATTCCAGATCTCTGTACATTCCATTTTAATACTTTGCTTTGTCCTCCCAAGCTGCCTTTCAAAATTTTTTGCTTATGTTATAGCAAGGAAATCCTGAATCTGTTGGTGGGCATGGAGCAGGGGAGTACTGCATGGTTTGGGATTCAAGGGAGTGCATCAGGGATGTATTCTTTTGATACCTATTCAATCTATATGCTGAGCAAATTATCTGAGAAGCTGGACTCTATGAGGAGGAATGTGGCATCAGGATTGGAGGGAGACTCATCAATAACCTGTATTATGCATATGACACAACTTTATTTTATGAAAGTGAAGAAGACTTGAAGAACTTGTTGCAGAAGATCAAGGAATGCAGCTTTCAGAATGGATTGCATCTCAGTATGAAGAAAATAAAGTGTCTTACCACCGAACCAATAGATAGTGTCATGATGGAAGGAGAGGAGATTGAAACTGTCAAAAGCTTCATCTTGCTTGGATCCACAATTAACACCCTTGGTACAAGCAGTCAGGAAATAAGGAGATGCATTGCAATGGGAAATTCTGCAACTATGAACCTTTCCAAATTATTGAGAACTAGTGATGTCAATTTGAGGACTAAGGTGCGTCTGATTCAGGCCATAATCTTTCCAATTACTAGATATGCATCCAAGATCTGGACAATGAATAAGGAAGAAAGAAAAAGAATTGATTCCTTTGAGCTGTGATGTTGGAGAAGAGCACTGAACATTCCATGGACAGCCAAGAAAATGGACAGATTTGTTTGGGAGCAGGTGCAACCAGGGTGCTCTTTAGAGGAAAGAATAATGAGACTTCGCCTCACATGCTTTGTATATATTGCTAGGAGGTGTTATTTCTAGGAGAGGGAGATGACGTTGGGAAGGGTGGAAGGTCGGGAAAGGAGAGGAAGATGCTCAAACAGGTGGACTGACAAGGTGATTGCTGCAGTGGGTTCATGTGTGTCAGGAAGTGTGACGACTGTGCAGGACAGAAATAGATTCAGATTCTCCCCGCCCCCCCCCCATAGGATCACTACTAGATTCGATGGTACCTAACAACAATAACAATCCTGAGTAGGAAATTGAAGCCCAAGAATTGTATTCTAGTTTGAGGCTTTAGCTAGAGTCCTGGGGGAAAAAAGTTGCTCAGGATGCCAAAATGTGTACAATAGTATTCACATTCACCCCGAAGGAGGAAAAGAGAAACTCACACTGTAACATGTTGTTGTTGTTGTTGTTATGTGCATCAACTTGCCTGCAACTCATAGCTACTCTATGTACAAGAGCCCTAAACCCTCCTCTAGCCCTAGCCCAACTTATTGTCTCCAACACACCTATCCTCATTCCCCCAGTCACTGAATCAATCCATCTCATTGAGGTTCTTCCTCTCCTTCACTGTCCCTACACCCTCCCAAGCATGACATTCCTCTCCAAAGAGAGGGATCCAGCCTTGCAACCTGTCCAAAGTATGTTAGACAAGACTTCAGAATCCTTGCTTCCAAGGACCAGCCTGGCTTCACCCTCTCCAGGATGAATTTGCTTGTTCTCCTAGCAGTCCATGGTATATTCAATACTCTTCTCCAGCACCAAAACTCAAAGATCTCCTTTTATCATGACTAGTTATTGTCCAGCTCTCTGATGCATAACAAGTAATTACAAAGACCATGGCCTGTATCAGACACTTTAATCTACAGACTGACATCATTGATCTTCAGTACTTTTGAGAAGTCTCTGACAGCAGACTTTCTCAATGCAATTCCTCTTAATTTCTTGGCTGCTGGCACCAAGGGTGTTGACTGTAAAGCCAAACAAACTGAAGCTATCAACCATCTCAATCTATTCAGCGTCCATCATGATGCTGCCAATTGGCTCTGTGGTGAAAATCTTTGTTTTCTTGATGTTGAGCTTCAATCCATATTGAAGGCTGCAGTGCTTGACCTTCTGCAGCAAGCACTTCAGGTCCTCCTCAGTTTCAGCAAGCACGGTTGTGTCATCTGCATAACACACATTGTTGATGCGTCTACCTTTAATTCTGATGCCACACTTCTCCTCATAGAGCCCCAGGCTCCTGGATAATCTGGTCAACATACTGAGAAGATAGGGAGATAGGACACATTCTTGATACACACCCTTCCCAATTGTGAAACACAGAGTGTTTCTTTGCTATGTTCTGACGACTTGCCTCCTTGTCCAAGTATAGTTTTCACATAAGCACAATCAAATGTTCTGGGATTCCCATTCTTCTCAGAGTCGGCCAGAGTTTGTTGTGATCCACACAAACAAAGTCAATGTACAGTCAATGAAATACAGGTAGACATTCCTCTTGTACTCTCTGCTTTCAGCCAAGATTCATCTGACATTAGCTATAATATTTCTAGTGCCACAGCCTGTTCTAAATCCAGCCTGCACTTCAGGTATTTCTTTGTTGATGTGCTATTTTAGTCGTTTTTGTATAATCAGCAGAATCTTACTTGCGTGTGGTATCAATGATGCTGTTCGATAATTTCCACACTGTTGGATCACCTTTCTTTGGAATGGGAACAAATATAGATCTCTTCCAGTCAGTAGGCCAAGTGGTTGTCCTCCAGATTTCTTGGCACAGCTTGGTGAGCACATCCAGGCAAAGATCTGTTTGTTGTAGTATGTCAATCGGTATGCTATTAGTTCCTGGAACCTTGATTTTTTGCAAATTCTTTCAGAGCAGCTTGAACTTCTTCCTTTATCACCACAGGCTCTTGCTCATGCATTGTTTCATTAAATTCTTCTGTGTCCACTAATTCCTTTTGGTATAATGACTCTGTCTACTCTTTCCATCTTCTTTTAATGCTTTCTACATCATTTAATATTCTGTCCAAGGTATCCTTAAGTATTACAATTCAAGGTTTGAATTTGTTCTTCTATCCATTCAGCTTAAGAAATACCGAGTCAGCTTGGCCCTTTTGATTTTCTGACTCCAGCTCCTTGCACATTTCATTGTAATACTAGAAAGACTATTTATTATGTTGTCATACAAAGACCTTTATCAAATGTATTTATTAATGCACAGCAGTATAAATGGAGGAGACCATATTTTTAACTACACAGTATTTCCTTGCTCTACAAGCCTTTATTAAGATGATAAAATCTTACCAATCATGTTGGAAGACAATGTGACTTCTCTGAAAGATGTTTACTCTTATTTCCCTCATATAATCAGCAAAAATTCCTTTAGTAAAACATGAGTGAACTACAACCAATTATTTTATAACTTTGTTTTATTTAGGTGCCACTGAGCTGATTCACACTTGTTATGGAAGCACCCCCATAGTGTTCTCTAGGCTGTTGTCCTCACAAGAATTTATTTCCAGGTCTTTCTCCCATAGAGCCTCTGGTAGGTCTTTTCAACATAGAACATTTGGTGAATTTGAACTGCTGACCTTTGGGTTAGCAGCTAAGGTAAGGGATTAAGCATCATCCTATGAGGGCTTCAGTTTATACCACCAGAAAATCTGATTTCAGGAAACATTGATAGATATGCCAAGATTGTATTTCATTTTCAAGACTGTAAGTAATTTCTGAGGGAAAAATCAATATAATTCTCTTTAAATTTCATCATTCTATCGTTTTAATGTAAACCAACCATGC